CTTCATCCTCCTGAGAAGCTGGGACCACAACCGCATGCTACCAAGGCCAGCTAATTTTCTTTTGTATTTTTTTGTAGAGATGGGGTTTTGCACTGTTGCTCAGGCTGGTCTCAAACTCCTGGGCTCAAGCAGTCCACTTGCCTCAGCCTCCCAAAATGCTGGGATTACAGACATGAGCCACTGTACCCAGCCATGTTCCACAGATTAATGCCACTCTTTTTATATATTGCTGGGTTCAATTTGCTAATATTTTGTTGAGGGGGGTGGGGTTGCTTCTATATTCATGAGGGATATTGGTCTTTAGTGTTCTTTTATTGTCATATCTTTGTCTGGTTTTGGTTCAGGTAATACTAGCCTTGTAGAATGAGTTGGGAAGTATTTTCTATTTTTTATTTTTTTTTTTGAGACGGAGTCTCGCTCTGTCGCCCAGGCTGGAGTGTAGTATGGCGTGATCTTGGCTCACTGCAAGCTCCGCCTCCTGGGTTCATGCTGTTCTCCTGCCTCAGCCTCTCGAGTAGCTGGGACTATAGGCCCCCACCACCACACCCGGCTAATTTTTTGTATTTTTTAGTAGAGATGGAGTTTCACCCTGTTAGCCAGGATGGTCTTGATCTCCTGACCTCGTGATCTGCCCGCCTTGGCCTCCCAAAATGGGAAGTATTTTCTAAAAGAAATTTGTAGAGTTGGTATTATTTCATCCTTGAGTGGTTAGTAAAATTCTCCGCTGTAATCCTAGTGGTCTAGGCCTAGAATTTTCTTTGTTGGAGGATTTTAAACTTTGAATTCCAGTTTTTAATAGCTCGAAAACTATTTAGGTTATTTATTTATTTATTTATTTAAATTATTTGAGACAGAGTCTTGCTCTATCACCTAGGCTGGAGTGCAGTGGTGTGATCTTGGCTCACTGCAAGCTCCGCCTCCCAGGTTCACGCCATTCTCCTGCCTCAGCCTCCAATAGCTGGAACTACGGGCGTCCACCACCGTGCCCGGCTAATTTTTTGTTTTTTTAGTAGAGAAACTGATGTTTCTGTTTTACCATGTTAGCCAGGATAGTCTCGATCTCCCGACCTCATGATCCGCCCACCTCAGCCTCCCAAAGTGCTGGGATTACAGGTGTGAGCCTAGGTTATTTATTTTTGCCACTTTTTTTTTTTTTTTTTGAAGATGAGATCTTGCTTTGTTGCCTAGGCTGGAGTGCAGTGGTACAGTCATAGTTTACTGTAGCCTCCATCTAACTGCTGGGCTCAGGTGATCCTCCTACCTCAACTTCCTGATTAGCTGGAACTACAGGCGTGTGCCGCCACACTTGGATAATTTTTTAATTTTTGTTTCATGTCAGGGTCTTGTTTTGTTGCCCAGGCTGGTTTCAAACACCTGACCTCAAGTGATCCTGCCACCTTGGCCTCCCCAAGTGCTGGGATTATAGGCAGGAGCCACTGCGCTCATTCTTGAGTGAGTTTTGGTAGTTTATAGCTTTCAGGGAATTGGCTTATTTCAAATATGTTGTCAAATTTATGTGCATAGAGTGTTGCTTTTTTTTTTTTTTTCCCTGAGATAGAGTTTCACTGTTGTTGCCCAGACTGGAGTGCAATGGCACAATCTCGGCTCACTGCAACCTCCGCCTCCCTAGTTCAAGTGATTCTTCTGCCTCAGCCTCCCAAGCAGCTGGGATTACAGGTGCCCGCCACCGTGCCTGGCCAATTTTTATATTTTTAATAGAGACAGGGTTTCACCATGCTGGCCAAGCTGCTCTGGAACTCCTGGCCTCAGGTCATCCACCCACCTCGACCTCCCAAAGTACTGGGATTATAGGCGTGAGCCACCGCGCCTAGCTGAGTATTTCATAACTGTAATTTTCATGTCTTCAGGATCTGTAGCTGTCACCCCCTTTCATTCCTGATGTTGGTGATTTATGTCTTTGATCTTTTATTCTTGGTTAACCTGGCTAGAGGTTTATCACTTTTATTGATCTTTACAAATAATCAACTTTGTATTCATTAATACTCTGTTTTTGTATTTGTTTTTTCTTTTTTCTGTTTTCAAGTTTCTTGATTTCTGCTCTTTTTTTTTTTCCAGATGGAGTCTCGCTTTGTCACCCAGGATGGAGTGCAGAGTAGCGTGATCTCGGCTCATTGCAGCCTCTGCCTCCTGGGTTCAAGCGATTTTCCTGCCTCAGCCTACTGAGTAGCTGGGATTACAGGTGCCTGCCACCACGCCCGGCTAATTTTTTTCGTATTTTTAGTAGAGACATTTACTGCTATAAAGTTCTCTTAAACACTGACTACATTACACGAATTTTAATAAGTTATATTTCTGTTTTCATTCAGTTAAAAATTGTTTTCTGATTTTCCCTGAGACCTCCTCTTTGCCCCACAGATTATTTAGAAGCGTGTTTAGTTTTCTAATATTTGGAAGTTTCCCAATATCTTTCTGTTAAGGATTTCTAGTTTATTCCATTATGGTCGGACAACAAGTCTTAGTATGATTTCAGTTCCTTTATTTTTGTTAAGGTTTGTTCTGTGGCCCCAAATATTCTATCTTGTAACGGTTCTAATATTTACTTGAAGAATGTACATTCTGCTGTCCTTTTTTTTTTTTTTTTTGAGACGGAGTCTTGCTCTGTTGCCCAGGCTAGGCTGGAGTGCAGTGGAGTGATCTCTGCTCACTGCAGCCTCCGCATCGCAGGTTCAAAGTATTCTCCTGCCTCAGCCTCCCGAGTAGCTGAGATTACAGGTGCCCACTGCTACGTCTGGCTAGTTTTTTATATTTTCAGGAGAGACGGGGTTTCACCATGTTGGCCAGGCTGGTCTCGAACTCCTGACCTTGTGATTCGCCTGCCTCAGCCTCCCAAAGGCGTGAGCCACTGTGCCCAACTTCTGCTGTCTTGTATTATTTATAGTTACAGTGAATCTAGCTAGATATTATGGAATAGAAGGAAAAAGTCACTTGTATGTTTAAGATAAAAAGAGTTGTCCAGGTGCTGTGGCTCACGCCTATAATCCCAGCACTTTGGGAGGCCGAGGTGGGCGGATTGCTTGAGTGCAGGAGTTCGAGACCAGCCCAGGCAACATGGCAAAACCTCATCTCTACAAAAAAATACAAAAATTAGCCAGGTGTGGTGGTGCATGCCTGTAGTCCCAGCTACTCAAGAGGCAAGAATTATTTCTAACATTTGACAAGTTATTTCAGGCCATTCCCGTAGACCTTAGGGAGTGTCCATTCACTCTTGCACTGTTAAATAAAAAGTTTGCAAGTACTTTTAGGCCTTAAGGAAGCATGGTTCTCAAATTGTCGTGTGCATCAGAATCATGGCAGAGACAGTTATTGAGATTCCTGCATTCCATACTCTGGAAAGAGCAGTTAGTGTTTATTTTAGGTACTCTTCATAGATAAATGATCTCATTTACACTTTCCAAACATAGCTCTGAGAGAGGCACCATTTTACAGATGAGGAACTTGTATGAGATTACGTCTGTAATAAATGAAAGGGCCAGTAAGCCTGGCTTGTCTTACTCAGGATCCCAGACTCTAAACCACAGCACTACACGAGTCCTCATTACCTGAAGTGTGCTGATTCCTGAGGTCCATGGTGAAACCAAGGAAGATACATGTTAAATTATCCTTCGTATTTTGATTTGTCTTGTCAACAACTGTGAAATATATAGTTACAGTCCTATTGACTACATCTTGGAGGCTGTCCTAAAAATGATTTATATAATTTTATTTTCTCCTTTGTCTTCTAAAAAGAAGAGAAATTTACTTCATTAGTGGTGACTTTCATAATGAAAATACAGTTTACTACAAAGGGAGACCTGTGGGCCATTGCGTCTTCCATATCTAGTAAATTATCTTTTCTTTACTGAAAAGAGTGAGCTTTTCAGTAAAGAAACAAGTCAAACAGCAAGTTTTATATCATGATTTCTTCTTCTTTAACTTTATATTATGGAAGACTTTAAATATCTACACAATTGAAAAATTTTTGTTTTTTTGAAATGGGGTCTCACTCTGTTGCCCAGGCTGGAGTGCAGTGGTGCGATCTTGGCTCACTGCAACCTCTCCCTCCCGGGTTTGAGCAGTTCTTCTGCCTCACCCTCCCTAGTAGCTGGGACTACAGGCGCACGCCTCCACACGTGGCTAATTTTTGTACTTCTAGTAGAGATGGTGTTTCACCACGTTGGTCAGGCTGGTCTGGAACTCCTGACCTCAGGTGATCCGCCTGTTTTGGCCTTCCAAAGTGCTGGGATTACAGGCGTAAGCCACCGCGCCCGCCTGAAAGATATTTAATAGAGTAATGAACCTCCATGTATCCATTACCCAGCTTTGATTATCCACTCATGCCATTATTGTTAAGATCCATCTCTCCACTTCTTTGCTGCCTGTTTATTCACATCATTTCATCTAAAAATTGCAGAGTATATCTATAAAAATAAACGCTTTTAAAGCAGAGAGTTGGCCGGGCGCGGTGGCTCAAGCCTGTAATCCCAGCACTTTGGGAGGCCGAGACGGGCGGATCACGAGGTCAGGAGATCGAGACCATCCTGGCTAACACGGTGAAACCCCATCTCTACTAAAAAATACAACAAATTAACCGGGTGAGGTGGCGGGCGCCTGTAGTCCCAGCTACTCGGGAGGCTGAGGCAGGAGAATGGCGTGAACCCGGGAGGCGGGGCTTGCGGTGAGCTGAGATCCGGCCACTGCACTCCAGCCTGGGCGACAAAGCGAGACTCCGTCTCAAAAAAAACAAAAAACAAAACAGAGAGTTTTTGAGCAGTTCAGTACATGGATTTTCTTTTAAATGCTTTGTAAATGTCGTTACTTGCACAAAGCCTTCGTGTGTTCTTGCACTCTTAATTTTGTAGTGATTCACAACTTTTCCAGCAGGGGGCACTTGGAAGCTGGAGGGATTTAGGTATTCAAAGGAGAGCCCTTGAGCCTTTATCATAACTCAGAGTAATCCATCTCTTCCCATGCTTTTTGAAAAATCTCTTTGGTGAATCTAGATGCAAAACAAAAGATGCGACAGGCCTGGAAGTCCTGGTTGATCTACGTAGTTGTTCGTAGGACCAAACTTCAGATGCAGACTACGGCTCTGGAGTTTAGGCAACGGAGTATCTTAAGGTGAGTCTGCTCAACTGCCCTACAGAGTATCAACCATCATTTTACCTCATCAGTTGTATGGTGCTGGAAAACAGCATAAAACCCCACCTTAAAACAATGGTTTGTGTTTGGTTTTATTTTTATTTATTTATTTATTTTTCGAGATAGGGTCTTACTCTGTCACCCAGGTTGGAGTGCAGTGGCACAATATCAGTTTACTGTAACTTCCACCTCCTAGGCTCAAGCAGTCCTTCCACCTCAGCCCCCCGAGCAGCTGGGGCTACAGGCATGCACCACTATGCCCAGCTAATTTTTTTTTTTTTCATTTTTTTGTAGAGGCGAGGTTTTATCATGTTTCCCAGGCTGGTCTTGAATTCATGGGCTCAAGCGATCTGCCCACCTCAGCCTCCCTAAGTACTGGGATTATAGGCATGAGCCACCATGCCCCATTCTCACTTTGAAACAATGTTTTGAATCAAAACAATGTTTTGATGCCTAATAAAGATTTATTGATAACTTGTTTATAAGATCAGTTTCACATAATCATAATTAACACGAATTGAGTGCTTACTATGTTCTAAACTCTGTTAAGTTTGTGTGTGCATGTGATAATTTTGTAATGTAAAGTATCTTATCTAACTCTTACCATAAACTGTAAGTACCATTATTGTACAGATTAAGTTGTACAATAAGGCTCAGAGAGGTCGAGTAACTTGCCTAGCACATACAGGTTGTAATTGGCAAAACTAAGGCTCACCCACCCATACTCTTAACTGCTGTTCTGCATTGCAGCCCATCAGCATTGTAGACATACTGGAAGAACATGAATTAGTCCACTTTTGTAGCCAGATGTGTAACAATGAGCTGCATTATAATGGACAGATTTCACACTCTTGTCTGTAGTGATCCACTGGTGTCCTGAATGGTAGTATATTAAGAGCTCACTTCCTGCCTGAAAGGGTTGGGTATTGAACAAAGTATGGATAATAGGAGAGGCTTTCAGCTGCACTTACTTGGGTGTGAATCCCTCTTCCAGCCTGTGTTATTGGGTCATTTCATCTCTTCAGCTCTTATTTTCTTCATCATTGAAATTGTTACACCATACTTACAGGTTTGTCATCAGGAATAAATAAAGTAGTATCTGTAAAGTGTTTAACAGTGTCCAGAACATCAGTGGGCATAAAGAAGTTATTTATTTAAGTAGAAATAAAATAGGCAGAGTGCAGTAGCTCAGACCTGTAATCCCAACACTTTAGGAGGCTAAGGTGGGAGGATTGCTTGAGGCCAGGAGTTTGAGACCAGCCTGGGCAACAAAGCCAAGACACTGTCTCTACACACAAAAAAATATTTTTAATAAGTAATTAAAATCGTTACTTAAAATGTATTCAGCAAGTATTTCAAAGTGCCTAATTAGTATGCAATTTTACTTGAGTCTGAGTGATTTTTTTTTTCCCCCGAGATTTATTCTCGCACTGTTGCCCAGGCTGGAGTGCAGTGGCGTGATCTTGGCTCACTGCAACCTCCGCTTCCCAGGTTCAAGCTGTTCTTCTGCCTCAGCCTCCCGAGTAGCTGGGATCACAGGAGCATGCCACTATCACCCGGCTAATTTTGTTTTTGTTTTTGTTTTTTTTTCGAGATGGAGTTTTACTCTTCCTGTTGCCCAGGCTGGGAGTGCAAATCGGTCAGTCTCGGCCACCGCAACCCTCCACCTCCCCAGGTTCAAACGCAATTCTCCTTGCCTCAGCCTGCCTGGAGTAGGATGGGGAATTACAAGCAGCTGTACCACTGGGCCGGAGGCGGCGGGTGGCTCAAGCTCTTAATCCACGCACTTTGGGCGAGGCCTTTGACGGCGGTGTGGATCACGGAGGTCAGGAGATCGACGACTTATCCCTGGCAACATGGGTGAAACCCCGTCCTCTACCAAAAATACAAAAAAACTAGGCCGGGCGTGGTGGGCGACGCCTGTAGTCTCAGCTACTTGGGGGGATGGCTGAGCGGGTTGAGAATGGCGTGAACCCGGGAGCGGAGCTCTCAGTGAGCCAAGATCACTGGCCACTGCACTCAGGCCTGGGAGGACAGGCGAGACTCCGTCTCAAAAAAAAAAAAAAAAAAACAAGCATGCACCACCACGCCCGGCTAATTTTGTATTTTTAGTAGAGACGGGGTTTGTCCGTGTTGAGGCTGGTCTCGAACTCCTGATCACAGGTGATCCGCCCGCCTTGGCCTCCCAAAGTGCTGGGATTACAGGCGTGAGCCACCGCGTCCTGCCTAATTTTGAATTTTTAATAGAGACAGGGTTTCACTATGTTGGCTAGGCTGCTCTCAAACTCCTGACCTCAGGTGATCCACACGCCTCAGCCTCCCAAAGTGCTGGGATTACAGGCATAAGCCAGTGTGCCAGGCCATAACTTACGTTTTTTAACAAACCAAATTGTGTAGGCCAAACAGAGCATATCTGTGGTGTCTAAAGCAGGATCTGACCGTAGGAACCAGAAGTTTCCAACCATTAATTGGCAGATCTGGGACTTTTTCTCGATTGTTTTGTTTTTTTTTCCCCAGCAGTGAATCTAGAAATGGTGCTATGAAGGAGAGAGCTAGAGCTGAGGGTCTGAGGCCCCACACTAACTGCTCCTCTCTTTTCTGAGTGGTTTTTTTCTGATGGATTCCATCTTTGATTTGCTCTTTCACAGGGTGTGGTGGAGCATGTGGAGGCAGCAACTAGGACAGGTCCGTGTGAGCCGTGCCCTCCATGCCTCTGCTGTGAAGCACAGGGCCCTGAGCCTCCAGCTGCAGGTGAGTCCAGTAAACGTGGGTTTTGGCATCCTCTGTCCATGTTGTCAAGTGTCTCACCCACAGAGGGAAGTCCTGGGCCTTCCCTGCAGCTCAGGGCCTGAGCCAGGGTGGGGGCAGAGGTAATCCGGAAGGCTGGGCTCTTCCAGAGGGAGGCTGCTGTTAGGAATAAAGCAGAGGCTTGTCCTAGATGAGCCTAGATCAGTGGCTTCCAGAGTGCTGCTGGTAATTGTGGAGCAGGAGAGGGATTTATGAATTAGTTATAAACATGTTTAGAGAAACAGCAGTATACTCTGATTTCCTCATTACTGTTTTCCTACAGCAAATCAGAAAATAATTGGGGCAGAAAAGAAACTAAGACTGAAGAGAAAACCTGGCTGCTGCTGCTTTGTAGTTTTGATGGTCTTAGAGTGTTCTTTTAGGCAAGCCCCTAGCTTTTTTTGTCAATCGTAAAGGACTAAGGCCTGTACTAAAACTTTCTTATCCTTTGACATGTTCTCTGAATTCTTGTCATGTTTTTATGTCTGCTGGGTACTTACAGAGCTGCCAAGTAAGTTATAGGGAATAGAACCGGGAAGAGGAAAAAAAAAATTAGCGCCTGTTTCCAAATGTAGGAATAGTATCTTCTTATTCTAACAACAAATTGCATAGTCCCTGCAAATATGTGCAAATCACATGCAAATAGCATATATAGTCATCCAGATCAGTGATCAGCAAACTGGCTCACAGGCCAACTTTGGACTGCTTTCTGTGTTTGTAAATAAAGTTTTATTGGGATGCTGTTACACCCATTCATTTACGTATCATCTGTGGCTGCTTTCCGATTACAAGGGCAGTGTAGAGTAGTTGCAAAAGAGACCTTATGGCCTGCAAAAACTAAACTATTTGTTTTCTGACCCTTTAAGAAAAAGTTTGCTGACCTCTGAACTTGTAAGGTCTTCTGAGGCGATAGCAAGGAATTAAGAGACACAGCCAATAATAATAACAGTACCAATAGCAGCAGCAACTGCAGCCTGAGTGACAGAATGGGATCTTGTCTCACAAACAAAAAAGAAGAAGTAGCTTTTATCGTTGTCTACTTGTGTTAGGTGCTGGACTAAGTGCTTTACGTGCATTATCTAATTTTCACAAACCTTTTTAAAAAGTACCATGTTATTGTTAAGAAAACCAGGAAGGTTAAATAACTTGAACCAGGGTCATATGTATAGTGAAGGTTAGAACTAGGTTTTAACCTAAGCAGCCAGAAAGCTGCATCATTATCTTTTTTTTTTTTTTTTTTTTGAGACAGAGTATCACTTGCTGTCTCACCCAGACTGGAGTGCAGTGGCACGATCTTGGCTCATTGCAACCTCCGCCTCCTGGGTTCAAGCAATTCTCCTGCCTCAGCCTACCAAGTAGCTGGGACTACAGATGCATGCTGCCACGCCCGGCTAATTTTTTGTATTTTAGTAGAGATGGGGTTTCACTGTGTTGCCCAGGCTGGTCGCTAACTCCTGAGCTCAGGCAATCTGCCTGCCTCAGCCCCCCAAAGTGCTGGGATTACAATGGTGAGCCACCGTGCCTGGCCCAGAATTTTTTAAAGTAACAAAATTTAATGGAATGGACACTACCAAAGCTCTACCCTCCCTGCCTCCCTTCTACTACCTCTCCTCCTTAGAGATAGCCACTCCTGATTCTGGTATGATTGTTTTCCTATATTCTTTTTTCTTGTAAAAATATGTGCACATATCCTTAAAGAGTAAATGCGTGGTGCACTCCTGTAGTCCTGTCTACTCCGGAGGCTGTGGCAGGACGATCACTTCAGGTCAAGTGTTTGAGGCTAGCCTGGGCAATACAATTAGACCCCATCACTTTAAAAGAGGTGGGAGAGGCCACGGTGGCCTACGCCTGAATACCGGGACTTCGGGAGGCCAAAATAAGAGGATCACTTGAGTTTAGGAGTTCAAGACCAGACTAGGCAACATAATGAGACCCCATCTCTACAAAAAAAAAAAAAAAAAATTAGCTAGATGTGGTGGTGCATGCCTGTTGTCCCAGCTACTTGGAGGCTTAGGTTGGAGGATCATTTGAACCTGGGAGGTCAAGGCTGTGGTGAGTCATTGATCATGCCACTGCACTCCAGCCTGGACAGTAGAGCAAGACCCTGTCTCAAAAATAAATAAGTAAATAGCATGGCTTTGTGTAGTTGGGACATTTATGAATGGTGTCATACTGTACTTTGCAACTTGTTTTTTTAGTGCAACGGTATGTTTTTGAGGTTTAGCCATGTGATTTCTTTCTTCCTTTTTAAAAATAGAGACAGGATCTTTCTCCGTTGACCAGACTGTTCTTTAACTTGCAGCCTCAAGCAATTCTCATACTTTGGCTTCTTAAAGTGCTGGGATTACAGGCCTGAGCCACCCTGCTTGGCCCTATCTATGTGGATAGACAGAGATTTATTAACTGTGTATATTATGCCATTGTATAAACAAGGCACAGTTTATCTGCTTACTGATGGACTGTTGACTACCTCTGCTTTTTATAATTATGAACAATACTACCGAGAGCATCCTTTTTTTTTTTTTTTGAGACTCCATGCAGTGGTGCGATCTCAGTTCACTGCAACCTCCGCCTCCCAGGTTCAGGCGATTCTCCTGCCTTAGCCTCCCAAGTAGCTGGGACTACAGGTGTGCGCCACCACATCCAGCTAATCTTTGTATTTTTAGTAGAGATGGGGTTTCACCATGTTGGCCAGGCTGGACTTGAACTCCTGATCCACCTGTCTTTGCCTCCCAAAGTGCTGGGATTACAAGCATGAGCCACCATGCCTGGCCCCCAGTTTCTTTTAATTATTCACAGATCTGTTTCTCGGCTCTCTTCCATTCATGTATTTGTCTATCCATACCATACAAATACCATACTCTTTTAGTTACGATTTGATGAAGCAGGTAAGCAAGAGTGTAGGTTCTTGAGTCAGACTGTCCAGTGGAATTCTGCCTCTATCACCTATTAGCTTTGTGCCTTTGAATGAGTTATTTCACCTTGTTTGTACCTCAGAATTCTTATCTGTAAGTAGATCATAATAGTACCTACCTCATGAGATTGTTGAGGCTTTAGTAGGACGATCCAGTTATTAATAATGTACTCAGAGCAATGCTTGGAATATGGAAATGCTTGATAAATGCTAGCTGTTTATTACTATTCTTACTTAACATATAGCTCTTAAGGCTCTATATTTGAGAGAGAATCCCCTTTATTCTTGTTTTGTTTTTAAACTTGTCTTAATTGTTCTTCTGTACTCTTTCTTATTAATTTTAGGATCAACTTGTCAAGTTCTATAACAAAGCCTATTAGGATTTTTTTTTCTTTTTTTTTTTTGAGACAGAGTCTCACTCTGTCACCCACCCACTGGAGTACAGTGGTGCGATCTTGGCTCGCTGCAAGCTCTGCCTCCCAGGTTCACACCATTCTCTTGCCTCAGCCTCCCGAGTAGATGGGACTACAGGTGCCCGCCACCTCACCCGGCTAATTTTTTGTATTTTTAGTAGAGATGGGGTTTCACCGTGTTAGTCAGGAGGGTCTCGATCTCCTGACCTCGTGATCTGCCTGCCTTGGCCTCCCAAAGTGCTGGAATTAACAGGCGTGAGCTACCGCACCTGGCTCAGCCTATTAGGATTTGTATTGCAATGTACTGACAGCTTATTAGGTTAGAAGAATTGTCATATTGAGTCATTTCATCTATGAATTTGATATATCTCATATTGCTGAGCTTGAGAAGGGAGAGTAGGAAGGATGAGATCATGAGGTAACAGCCAGAACGTAGGGCCTTGCAGGCAGCACCTGAGAAAAAAGGCTTTGACTTTTATTCCTGGGAAGGTGAAGAGCTGCTGGCTCTGAGCAGAGGAGTAACATGATTGTACCTACCTCTTAACAGGATTGTCTGATGCATAGTGTACTGCTTTTGGGGTAAGAAAGGGAAGGATATATATGAATGTGTGTCTGTGTGTTTGTGGTGTGTGTGTGTATGTCTGTGTTTGCTTATATTTTCAAGAAGGAATAATGGAAAAATAAATGAAAAACTTACCAAAAAATGGTTACCTATAGGAGGACGGAGGGAAGAGCATAGGAATAGAGTACTTCTGTGAATTTACTTTGTTACATAGTTTTAACTTCAGAACTATGCAAATATTTTATATAATTACAAAGCAAGAGTAAATAAAAAAGCAATTGATATATTTTCAAAACCAACTGAAATAAACATATCAAGTTTGTGGCAATGACTACACAGAAAATAATTACTTCAAGTAACTTTAAAATACAATATTTTGACTGTTCACCCTGGTGGAATGTGTTAAAAGGACGTAATGAACTGCTAAGAAATCTAAAACCACATTCTTATTAAGCAAGTGTTATTGTTACTAGGAGGTTTGAAATTGTTGTATTGAAAGTATAGTTACATTGTAAGATAAAGCAAATAATTATGGCAGTGTTGTTAGGAATAAAGATCTTCAATAGAAAAGATTACAAGTATAAAAATTAAAGAAATTAAATCTGCAGTTGGAACTGTAAATATCAATATGGACTCAATTATATATGTATGTGTATATATATGTGTATATATATGTGTGCATATGTGTATGTATATATATGTGTATATATGTGTATGTGTATATATATGTGTGTATATAACCATAAATACATTTCTGGCCTGGCACGGTGGCTCCCAGCACTTTGGGAGGCAGAGGCAGGTGGATCACCCGAGGTCAGGAGTTTGAGAACAGCCTGGCCAACATGGTGATACCCCATCTCTACTAAACATATAAAAAAATTAGCTGGGCGTGGTGGTGGTGGGCACCTGTAATCCCAGCTACTCGGGAGGCTGAGGCACGAGAATCATTGGAATCCAGGAGGCAGAGGTTGCAGTGAGCCAAGATTGTGCCACCTGCACTCCAGCCTGGGTGACAGAGTGAGACCCTGTCTCAAAAAAAAAAAAAAAAAAAAAAAGCATTTCTAACTCTATTTACTGAAAAGACTTAGAAGCAGTGACCAGTAGTATAGCATTTAGTATCCCCAGTGCCCAAGTTGTGGTCTTAACTATTTCCCACTAATAGGAAGCAGGGCTTTTTAGAGAAATGGCTGATTATAGGTCTGGGGCAGGAAATAGACAAGATACACCTAGGACATAGTGTGGTGAAGACTGAGGAACTTAACAAAAGCTAATGGAATTGTGTCAGAAGGACTCAGGGACCAATTTGGAAGGGTTCCCAGGGCTTAAGATAGAAAAGTTTGAGCATCAAAAAACAATAAGCTAGGCATGGTGGTGCCTGTAGTCCCAGCTACTCAGGAAGCTGAGGCAGGAGGATCACTTGAGCCCAGTAGATTGAAAACATCAAGTACATAAAATTCATGCATTTGAAATAACTTTAAAAGAAAGTGGAACTCGTCGGTCATGATTTTGGGTTGTTAGGGGAGTAACTCAATTCTTTAAAAATTAATGAAGGCAAAAAATGAAGCATTTATCCCACCTTTCCTGTATAAACTGTTAACTCCAAGAAACCAGAGGGTTAACGAGAGAGAAGGCTTCTTTATAGAATTCCAGTTAATAAATGCAGAAGGAGTACTAGCATAGAAAATTGCTGTTTTGCCACCTCTAATGAGGACACAGATCTAGGCAGCCATCACTAGGTGAGAGGATGGTGGGAAAATACAGGAGAAATCTGGCCACCTGCCGTCTGAATCCACCAGACAATCTTGGCATTGCTACAACTATGGCAGCCAGACTTGATGTGCCTCATGATACTATGTAAGTGGAAGTACCCAGCCACATTCATGAACTGTTCTTGCCTAAAAAATTGAACATGACTCCAAGCCTAATGCGAGTCTCTCAGTTTATAGGAAATACAGGGGTCAGAGTAACAAGTTAAAGACACCTCGAGATTACAGTCAGTCACATCCAAAATGTAGGACATTTTATAGGATAGATGACTTGATTTCTCTAGTAGATTGATGGCATGAAAGAGAAAAAAAAGCAGGAAGGGAAATTGTCATATAAGACAGAGAGATTTAAGTGACCTAAGATTTAAAGCAAACCAAAAAGGACCACTCTGGCTGTTGTGTTAGGAATACATCAGAGCCAGGCATGGTGGCAGATGTCTGTAATCCCAGCACTTTGGGAAGCCAAGGCGGGTGGACAGCTTGAGCCCCAGCGTTTGAGACCAGCCCGGACAACAAGGTAAAACCCTGTCTCTACAAAAAATACAAAAAATTATCCTGGTATGGTGGCATGTGTCTGTAGTCCCAGCTACTCAGGAGAGTAAATGGGAAGATCACCTGAGTCCGGGAAGTTGAGGCTGTAGTGAGCTATGATTGTGCCACTGCCCTCTAGCCTGGGCAATGGAACAAGACCCTGTCTCAAAAAAAAAAAAAAAAAAAAAAAAAAAAATTAGCTGGGCATAGTGGTGCATGCCTGTGGTCCCGGCTGCTCAGGAGGCTGAGGCAGGAAGATTGCTTAAGCCCAGGAGGTTGAGGCTGCACTGAGCAGTATTCTTGCCACTGCACTTCAGTCTGGCAGTCTGGGTGACAGAGTGAGACCTTGTCTCTAAATAGATAAATAAATAACCAGAGATGATCAAGGATATAAACAGGGAGAACAGGTGAGAAGCTATTACGAAATTCCAGGTGAGATTTTGCACAAAGATGTAAGACGGTAGTCGGATTCTGGATATCTTTTAAAGATGTAACTGACATCTTTAAAAGATGTATGGATGAGATACGAAGTTTTAGAGTCCAAGATGACTTCCAAGTTTTGGCCTGGGGAATTGTAACAACGGAGTGCCATTTACTGAAATAGGAAAGACTGCAGGAGAAGCAGGTTTGTGGGAAGAGATTAGGAGGAGCCCAATTCTGGCCTCTGTATCTTCAGCCTGATAGGCCTTTTGAATATCCACAAGAAGATATGTTAAGGAAGCAGTGGGATATTGGGATATATGTGTGGAATATTGAGGATGGGGCCAGGATAGGAGGCACATTTGGGAAATTCAGGAGTTCTCAGTAGGCAGATGATGGTATATGAAGTTACTAGAGTTTGCGGGGTGCGGTGGCTCATGCCTGTAAATCCCAGCACTTTGGGAGGCTGAGGCGGGAGGATTGCTTGAACCCAGGAGTTCAAGACCAGCCTGGACAACATAGACCCCATCTCTTTTTTAAAAAAAACCTACTACGGTGTGCGAAAAAATAAAGGGAGTGAGTGTAGCTAGAGGAGAGGTTCCAGGGCTGAGCCTGCGAGGGGCACAGAGGTGGGAGTCAGCAACAGAAACAAAGCAGGGACCCGGACACATCCCAAAAGCCAGGTGAAGGAAGGAGGAGGCTTTGTCAGACACTCCTGGCAGATCAAGGGAGGTGAGGACTGAAATCTGACCTTTGGATTGAGCAACGTGGAGATGGCCGATGCACTCGATAAGAGCAGTTTCATTCAGTAAGCCATGGGAGTGGGCTCAAGAAGGCCTGCCTGGGAGACAGACAGATTAGAAAATAGCTCTTTTGAGGAGCTTGAAACAGAAAGAACCAAAGTGTTAGCTGGATGGCACAGTGTGGTCTAGAGTCTAGAGAGGGGTGTTGCTTTCCTTGAGAATCACTGGTTTATTCCTTTCAGAAATTTTTGTGATGGCAATCTTCCCCCCACAACTTTTTATTTTTGACAAACACCAAATCATAGAAAAGGTGGATACTGGATGTATTTCACCCAGTTTAACCCATTGTGGTTTTTTGGTTTGGTTTGGTTTGGTTTGGTTTGATTTTTTTGAGACAGGGTCTCACTCTCTCACCCAGACTAGAGTGCAGTGGTGTGATCACTGCAGCCTCAACCTGCTCTAAAATTATAGACACAAAGTTTATCTTAAAGCTTATATCTCCTAAAAAGGGTAGTCTCCCACATAACCATAATATCGTTATTGTATTCCAAGAAATTTAATATTGATATGATAATATGTAACATGCAGTTCATATTAAAATTGTATATTGTTGCTATTTTCATTTCCATAGTCCAATCAAAGGTCACCTATTGCTTTTAGTTGTTATATCCTGAAGACATTTTTTTAGGATGGGGAAAATAATAGCATATCGGTATGCTGATTTCAGAAATCTATAGAGAGTGAAAACGTGATTTATAAGAGGGCAGCTGCCAAGGCGGTAAACTTAGGAAGATGCGATGTAGCCAGAGTGGGACAGGGTTGGGAGGGGACTGACTTTGGTGGGAGGATGGACGGTTTATCCAGAGTAGCAGGAGAGAGAGAAGACAGAGCCCGTGGGCAGGTGGGTGGTTAAACATGGTGGACCTTGAGGAAATTTTCTTTTGATTGCTTTTATTTCTTAGTGAAATGGGAGCGATGGTATTCAGTTGTGAGGAGGGAGAGGAGAGGTGCGACAGGTTGAAGAAAAGATATGAAGTCTTTGTCTAAGTCATCTTCAGATTAGGACATGCATTATCACTGATCTAAGGGTGTGCATTTATAGACCCTTAGCTTCTATAGATAGGCATCCCTGAAACTAATCTGCCTGAAAAAGGACCACTTTATAGTAAGCGTCCTCTGACTTTGGAAGAAAAGGCAGACCCTCCCCTGTCCCAAATCTGAATGAATTATGTCACCCCTCGGATCGTTTCTGCTCCTTGTCTGCTTGTTTGTGTTTTTGTTTTGAGTTGGTCACTCTTGTCGCCCAGGCCGGAGTGCAGTGGTGTGATCTCAGCTCCCCGCAACCTCCACCTCCCGCGTTCAAGAAATTCTCCTGCCTCAACCTCCTGAGTAGCTGGGATTACAGGCACCCACCATCACGCCTAGCTAAGTTTTTGTATTTTTAGTAGAGATGGGGTTTCGCCATGTTGGGCAGGCTGGTCTCAAACTCCTGACCTCAGGTGATCCGCCTGCCTCGGCCTCCCAAAGTGCTGGGATTACAGGCATGAGCCACTGCGCCTGGCATCTGCTTGCTGATTTTCTTCTTCTTCTTCTTTGTCTTTTTTTTAATCCAGAAAAAAATTACTTTTGAAAGCAGAATGTCCCTCTTAAAGACCCTTTTACCCCACAGTCCCATAGCTTATGATCCCGCTAGGGGATTGCCACTTCCTTGTTTCTGATTTCAGCCTTTCCAGTGTGTGTGTCTTTCTCTTTTCCCTTTCCACCTGTTCTTCACCGTGTTTTCCTGCCTCTCCTTTGACTATTGCCTCTTCTCTGGTTTTCAGGCTTGGTCACAGTGGCGGGAACAGCTCCTGTATGTCCAGAAGGAGAAACAGAAGGTCGTCTCCGCGGTGAAACACCATCGGCACTGGCAAAAACAGAGATTTCTGAAGGCCTGGCTTGAATACCTGCAAGTTCGCAGAGTGAAGAGACAGCAGAATGGTCAGTAGGAAGCTCCAGGCTCTCAAGACAGAGGATCTGGTCACAATTTCCACTCTCCTGCTGCCGTTGGTAGTGTACTAAGAAGTAATATAATGACGTTACTCCAGAAATGTTGGTAAAAGGAGATTGAGGAGGAAAATACATCATCCTTGAGTCAAACTTATTTCCCTTTGGCCTTTTCTTTTATTTATGTATCTATATCTATCTATCTATAGATAGAGTTTTTTTGGAGACAGAGTTTTGCTCTTGTTGCTCAGGCTGGAGTGCGGTGGTGCGATCTCCGCTCCCTTCCACCTCCGCCTCCTGGGTTCAAGTGATTCTTCTGCCTCAGCCTCCCAAGTAGCTGGGATCACAGATGCCCACCGCTTCGCCCAGCTAATTTTTGTATTTTTAATAAAGATGGGGTTTCACCAAGTTGGCCAGGCTGGTTTTGAACTCCTGACTTCAGGTGATCCCCCTGCCTTGGCCTCCCAAAGTGCTGGGATTACAGGCGTGAGCCACTGCACCCGGCCTCTTCTGTATATTTTTTATCTAAATAGGGTTTTCATTATGCTATAAGTATTGTAATTATTTTGATTAATATGTTGATAACTTATGGCTTTGTATCTTGCTTTTTTCCACACAGTTAATCAACATTTTCCTGCATCTTAAGTATTTGTCACAATTTTTTTTTTCTTTTGTTTTTTGAGATGGAGTCTTGCTCTGTCGCCCAGGCTAGAGTGCAGTGGCGTGATCTCCACTCACTGCAAGCTCCGCCTCCCAGGTTCACGCCATTCTCCTGCCTCAGCCTCCTGAGAAGATGAGACTACAGGCACCCGCATGGTGCCCTGCTGACTTTTTGTATTTTTAATAGAGATGGGGTTTCACCATGTTATCCAGGAGGATCTCGATCTCCTGACCTTGTGATCCACCTGCCTCAGCCTCCCAAAGTGCTGAGATTACAGGCATGAGCCACCGTGCCCAGCTGTGAATGTTATTTTTTTTTAACAACTATTCATATTTTATAGGATGGCTTACCTTAATATACTTAGCCATTCTTCTATTAATAGATATTTGGATAGTTTCTGTTTGTCTCCAATTATGCAAATGCATATGATTTTGATATCAAGTTTTTTGGATATTGCTTATATGGTTTTGTTTCCCAGTTAGATTCAGAAGTAATAATACACAGAAATGTGAACATTGGTACACTTTTAAAGTTAAGTTTATTGAGTTTATACCCAAGTGAGTCAAGCACTGTGCTAGACACTGGGTTAGGGGTCTCTGGCATTCAGCCAAACCTCGCTGCAGAAATCTCTTAGGCTGCCAACACTGTCTCTTGGGAGAGTTCGAATGTGTTCTTTGGAGGATAGTGACCCCAGACCAGCAGTCCAGTTGCCCAGTCCTGGAATGTGAAGGCATTAAGCTGTTTAGCATGATAAGCTATAGACGAACGCCTGCCTCCAGTTACAGCATTCAAATTCCAGGTCTGATTCCCATCCCCTTCCTGGGCCCTAGCTCATCAGACCATTATCTGACTAGCATTAAAAGGAGATGAAGCTGGCAGCCAGGATGAGGTTGGCTGAAAGCTCAAAAAAGCCTATGCCAGCATGGCAGCTGAATTTTATGTCATTAACTCAGTCTCTAAGTCCTATCCAGGAGTCATTTGTTTAGAAGCAAAAGTAAAACAGTCCTTTTGAAAGCAACAGTTATCATTCCTGTTTATCAGTATCTAACCAGAAGCCTCAGCCCTTTGATGTAACTGATTTTATAGCACCCTCCTCCCTAAAATCACAGACCTTTTCTCTTTCCTTGGAGAGAGGAGATATAACTCAGGGATTTCTAATGACCTTTCAAGGTTTAAAAAAACTTGTATTTTGGCCGGGCGTGGTGGCTCACGTCTGTAATCCCAGCACTGTGGGAGGCTGAGGCGGGCAGATCACTTGAGGTCAGGAGTTCGAGACCAGCCTGGCCAACATGGTGAAACCCCCCGTCTCTACTAAAAATACAGAAAAATCAGTGAGGGGTGGTGGCGCATGCCGGTAATTCCAGCAACTTGGGAGTCTGAGGCAGGAGAATCGCTTGAACCCAGGAGGCACAGGTTGCAGTAAGCTGAGATCGCGCCACTGCACTCCAGCCTGGGTGACAGAGCGACACTCCAACTCAAAAAAAAAAACAAACAAAAAACTTTTAGCATTTTGTGTGTGTGTGTGTGTGTGTGTGTGTGTGTGTGTGTAGCCTTAAACCCCTGCTCTCGCCAGTAGTGGGGTTCAGCTTGTCTTAAAGATGTTTCCAGTTCATCCTCTAACCTTGAGGGAGCAGCAGTTATTTCTCTGTTGCAGAGATGGCTGAGCGATTCCATCATGTCACCGTGCTCCAGATACACTTCTGTGACTGGCAGCAGGCCTGGGAGCAGAGGCAGAGCTTGTATGCCTACCATGCCCAGGTGGAGAAACTGGCCAGGAAGATGGCCCTGCGGCGCACCTTTACTCACTGGAAACACTGTATCCTTTCAGATACCCAGGCTGTCCATTGCCTCAGCCAGGACAGCAGGAGCTCAGCAGCACATGAAACGAAAGTCATGAGATACATGGGAAACAACTGCCAAACGATTTAAAACAGCCTTTTCTCTGTTGGCAGTCTTAAAATTTTTTGTTTAATTGAGATTGTGTATAAAAAGAGTACTATGTATCTTATTACCCAACTTTCAAAATAGAACCTTGCTAGCACACCTCTCTGCTCCTCCCTGATTGCATTCTTTTTCTTTTCCCTCAGGGGTAATCCCACTTTCCTGATGAACATTTTTTGGTGTTATAATATAAGTGCTTTTCTCTGCCCACTAGGTGGTGGAAATAGCCACCACTGGCTTTTTCTTGGTGATACCATCACCGTGACCATAAGCTTCCATTTATTGCGCTTTTACTATGTAGCAGACACTATGCTTTATCCTCATAGCAGTGCTGTGGAGTAGGTGCCACTATTGTCATTCTACAGACAGGGAAACAGATTCAGAGGAGTTGAGTGTATTTTAAAGTCACAAGTCATTGGCAGATTCAGGATTTTCAAAACCTGGGCCTTTAACTCCTGTGTACATATTCTTTTTTTTTTTTTGGAGATGGAGTCTTGCTCTGTCACCCAGGCTGGAGTGCAGTGGCACAATCTCGTGCTTGGGCATTTACAGGCTTGCAGGCAATGAGCCACCGCACCCAGCCTTTTTTTTTTTTTTTTTTTTTTTTGAGACACGGAGTCTCCTGCCTTTCAACCCAGGCTGATTGCAGTGGTGCCATCTCAGCTCACTGCAACCTCCAGAACTCTTGGTTCAGCGATTTCTCCTGTCTGCAAGCCTCCTGAGTGCTGGGATTACAGACGCCCCACCACCACGCCCGCTAATTTTGTGCTTTTTAGTAGACAATGAGGGGTTTCCTCCATGTTGGCCGCGCTGGTCTCAAACTTCTGAACCCAAAAC